CCTTTATCTATAAATGGGGGAATATGCAGAGCTTTGGGATGATTGCATGAAGTGGTGCATGTGAGGATGAGCCCCAGTGCCTGGTGCATCAGTGTTCAGCAGAAGTTGATTTTCTTCCTTTCCTGCCCATCAGCCTCTTACAGACAGGGCTACCTAGAAGTGATCAAGGCTGTGACCTACACACAGCTAGAGACCAAGGTGCTGGCCCAGCTCCACTAGTCACTATATGACCACCTGTCTCAGTGTCCCATCTAAACTGGCAGGGTTGTACTTGCTGGGTCATGCTTGCTTCCTGCTCTGGGAATCTGTGCTTCCCTTCCTTCATATACACATGACATTGTGCAACAGAAGAGTTCACACCCTGAAATAACAGGCTTTTTGTCAGTTTTCCCCAAGGCAGAAAAACTTTGGCAATTGGCATGAGGTGTGTGGTGTGTTGTGAGGCAGTTTTTGCAATTAGAATCTGTTTCTGTTTTCACCTCTCACAGAACTAATCTCTGATGCTCTCTCCTCAGATTTCATGTCATTACTAAAAACATTTTAAGGTTTTTGCTGCTTGTTCGTAGCATTTGAGGTGAGAGGTGAGCTAAGCAGGAAGGAGGGAGGGAATAGTCTTTATACCAACTTAATCGTTTGGGTTTGCTCACCAGCTGTAGATAAAGAGGTGATATTACATGATACCAAGAGGACTTTTTCCTGGAGACTAGCTTTGCTGCTGGATTTGCCCTGGGTGGCTTGACCAGACAGAGTACATCCTGGGCCACAGGGCAGAAGGCAGGTCTCCACCCTTCCCCATCCTCTTGTCTTTCAGCTCAGGACACACTCACTGATGGTTTTATTCCTCTTGGCTCCTCTTGTCAGAGGACTGCCTGGGGAGGCAGGCTGGGGCAGCAGAACCCCAAGTTATAAGCTGGTGAAGCATTCACCTTTTGTGACAGGGTTTTATAGAAAAGGTATTTCTCCCTTTTCCTTTCTTCACATCTTTTCAGTCAAGGTCTGGAAAGCTCCATTGCCTCAGAGTCAATGCTGTTTGTCTACCAGAAACAGGGCCTCACTTGACATCTTTAGATTTCTTTTTACCTCTTCGGTTCTTAATAAGCGGCTATGTCCATTTGGGTCCCTGGCTCTACTTGGTTGTGGTTAGGTGCCATTGAGTTGATTTCCACTCATAGTGTGACCCCATGTGACAGAATAGAACTGCCCAATAGCATTTTCTAGGCTGTGGTTTTAAAGTGTGTGGTTCACACCCACCAGCTGCTCCACAGGAGAAAGATGAGGCAGTCAGTCTGCTTCTGTTAAGCTTTACAGCCTTGGAAACCCAATGGGGCAGTTCTACTCTGTCCTGTAGGGTCACTGTGAGTTGGAATTGACTCAGTGGCTGTGGGTTTGGTTTTTTGGTAATCTTTACAGGAGTGGATTGCCAATTTTTTCTCCCACCTACCTGCTGGGTTGGTTTGAACCACCAACCTTTCAGTTAGCAGCCAAGCGCTTAACTGTTGTGCCACCAGGGAACATTTATTAGTGGAATATTTTGTCAAGATAGGGGTTTGACCTGTGAGAGTGTTTAGGACTTCAGCTGAAGGGGAGGAGGGACGGGAGGGTCTTGAACGGCCTCAGAGACCCTATAGGAACAGCCCACGAGGTGACGCCCACTGGCAGGCGACAGAGGAGCCCAAGCCTTAACATATGTAGGATGAGCCTTGCTGCGCTCCTTTGAAGCCCAGCCGCAGCCAGAGTGGTATAATTGCTGGCTTTGATTGCACCGACTCTCTGGTGGATGGGGCTCTGCCGGGGCTCGCCTGGTCTGGCTGAGCTTCAGCCGCAGCCCCCCAGTGAGGCCTTAGATGTGGGAAGTCTCCAGTCTCCGGATCCTCATGCCTGTGGTTTCTTGAAAAGAATCTTGATTTGACCTGTTTTATATCTGTAAAGCAACCCTGCACAGCCCCTGTATCTCCCATTTGAAGAGGAGTTGGGCTACCCTGGCGACCCTTACATTAAAGGAGCAGCCAGGGACAAACTTCTGCCTTATTTGAGAGTGGGGCCATTTCTGTGCCCATGTGTTTAAGTGCTGGTTACACTGTTAGGGGATAGTTACACTGTTAGGAGAGTATCCGGTGGTGTTGAGTCCCTTTTGCTACAGGCATTTGTTCAGAGGATCTGACTTTCACAGGAGGGTGTTAAGGGGACAATATGAAATAACTAAATAAAGGGAAACAGGAAAAAAATAGTGAGACAGCAGAAAGAAATAGCTTTATTAGGAGGTGGCGGGATTCATTCCTGGTATGTGTGTGGGGGGGAGTGGGGGACAGGGAGGGTGTTATATGTTGTTCTTATGGTCAGATGGTGTATTTGTGCTCAGTTCCAAAAGGCGGGAGAAGGACCTTTTGGGTAGGACAAGGAGGGGAAAGAGAGTCTTGGGGAATTGGGAGTGCAGGCTGCTGTGATGGAATAAGAACAGGCGACACAGCAGTGCTGTGGATGTTGTCTCTCCCTCAGCACGTCAGAGTCGGCCTATGGACAGTTTGGCTCCTTCAGCAAGCAGACACTCTTGGGTGCCTATAGCCAGGCTGTTCTGAGTCACAGCACTTGTCCCAGGTGGCTGTGAACTCCTGACCCAAGGCTTCTAGGCCATTCCCCTCAGGAAGCTGAATATTGTCATGTAGCACTGAGAGGAAAACCTTCCCAGGAAGAGCAATCTGGACCAAACCTTTGAAATTCTGTGGTGAAGAAGTACAATGTAAACAGACATCTGTGGGGTGCCCTCACCACCCTTTCCAGGCTCTGTGCTGTGAGTCCTGCTCCTGTCCCTTGGAAAGGTAGGGTCCTTCTTAGCTCTTTGATCCTCCTGTGCTAAGGAGTGGCACTCTCTCAAATTGAAAAATCACAACGCAGCAGTGTTTTCCTGTCAAGAGGAGAAAGGTTAATTCCGCAGGAGACTGTTGTTGTTGTTGTTGTTATGTGCCGTCCAGTCGGCCCGACTCATAGCGACCCCTCCTTGGGTTTCCAAGGCAGTATCACTACGGAAGTAGGATTGCCCAACCTTCCTTCCGAGGAGTGGCAGGTGGGTTTGAACCGCCAGCCGTCTGGTTAGCAGGCAAGTGTCTTAGCCACTATGCCACCCGCAGGAGACTAGGAATTGAAATTGTCTTGAGGACCTCTCGTAGTTCCCCACATATACAAGTAATTTCTTTACACTTCATATCAATCATTTTTAGACACAACATTGGTAGTAATTACAATAAGAACAATAGCTAACATGCTGTAACAGGGCTTGCAATGTGTGCCACACACTTTCTAAGCACCTTAAATACATTAACCAAGTCATTTCTCACAGCAGCCTGTGAGGTAGGCACTGCCACCAATCCCGTTTTACAGATCACTCTCCTGTGAAAAGGAGCTCTGGTGGCATAGTGCCTAAGGCACTTGACTGCTAACCAGAAGGCTGGCAGTTCAAACCCACCAGCCACTCCTGGGAAGGAAGATTGGGCAATCTACTTCAGTAGTGATAACACCCTGGAAACCCAAGGAGGGGTTGGACCTGACTCCAAGGCAGTGGTTGCATTTGCGTCTGCTCCTGTGAAAAGCATTTTGTAGTGGTTTGTATGTAACTTGCTATCCGAAGTTTTGTTTCATTATCCAAGTCTTTCAAAGCTTCCTTTTTTTCTCCTCTAATTTCTTTTTCTACTTATTCAAAAAAAAAAAAAAAAAAAAGCGTAAGGGAATCCACTTTTGATTTACAGTTAAATTTTTAAGAGAAATTTCTGCTAGTAACAGGACACCACAAGCACAGAGTTGAGATGGGCTGAGGCTGGCAAGGGACCCAAGGTAGATTTGGTCCTTCCTCTGGCCTCTCTGCAGCTAGGAAAGCAGCCTTTTTAGATACAAAGCTGCCAAGGTAAAAGCTGTCTTGAGTGAAGGAACTGAACTCTGCAGTGTTTTCCCTTTGCATCTTGTTACACTGTTACATTGCATTTTCAGTCCACTTTTAAAATCTCAGATCTTTAAATCTTCTGGTATATTTTTTTAAAAAATTCATTACCATCACTAATATTTAGTAACATTTTACTTAAAAAGACACAGTGGCTGAACAATGGGCTGAAACATAACTATGCTTTTAAGGATGGTGCTGGATCAGGCAGTGTTTTGTTATACAGAGGATAGTGTTGCTGTGAGTTGAAACTAACCTGACGGCACCTAAAAATACTTAAAACAGACTTACTGCATGTCCATTACAGGCTCACATTAGCTACCCCTGTTGTTAAGAAGAAAAAACTGTTGAGAACTGTAAAGTCTTAAGTAAACATACGGTCAGTTTTCCTATCTCGGGCTATGGATGTGAGTGGACAGAACAAGCACATTGGTTTCTCTGGGGCTGACGCTGGGCGTCTGCTGTGCTCTGGATAACTTGACTGTGTTGCAGTCCTATGTATAAGCATACAATGGCTCCCCACAGTGGTCTGAAAAGACCAAAACACTTTAAAAACTAACAAAACTTCTCTTGATTTGGCCATTGCCCACTCTTCCAATTTATGTTTGGCCATTTCTACTGATGTTTTTTTTAATTTTTTTTTTTTTAACCATGACTCAAAACACTAAATACATTTCACATCATAATGCTGTGCATTCGTATATATGGAACAAAATTAAGATTATTAATGTACCATTAAAAACCCACTGCTGTCGAATTGGACCCGACTCATAGCGACCCCTCCTTGGGTTCTCGAGGCAGTATCACTATGGAAGTAGATTGCCCAACCTTCCTTCCAAGGAGTGGAAGGGGGTTTGAACCGCTGGCCTTCTGGTTAGCAGTCAAGTGTCTTCGGCACTATGCCACCATAGCTCTCTCTACTGTACTGTTGAGCAATCCATTTGAGCCATCTGCCAAATTAAGGTGAATTAATTAAATTCAGAGATATTAAGGCATACGCTGTAACAGGCAAAATCTTTTAAAGATCTATGACACCTTCATATTAATATCATTTCATTTGTTCCTTCCTGAGGTGGAAAACGAAACTCATTCCCAACGTGCAAAGCCAAGGCAGCGACCCCGGGACCTCTTCTGGAGATGGAAGCTTGTTGAAAACCCTGTCTCCACGGCTTGCACAGTTGATCCCAAAGGAGAATTGACACCAGCTTCATCCTGAGGTCACTGCTAGAGACGCTGATCTATAGACAATCACTGCCAAACCCCCCTTTCATCTACTGCAAGAGCCAAATTCCAAAATTAAACATAAAAAAAGGTTTTTAAAAAAGAAAATTAGAAAGCACACAAGAACGCTAACAGGCCCTGGGTCAGCTGAGAAGCTTCCCTCCCCCATCTCTGCTGGGAACTTCCCAGAGCATCTTGCATTGATACCTGCAACATTTTGGCAAGGACAGTAACTTGGCTGCGTTTGCCTGCCGTCAGCAACTGGAGCCAGCCACCAGCACGTCCGTCCGTCATCGTCCCATCGGATGAATTTGTGGAAGAGTTCCTTTTTGTTTCTGTCTTTGTTTATCTTTCTCTTCCTTTCTCCTAAAGCTTTATTTAACAGTGCAAGAGGATGAATTGAACCTTATGTTTGCTTCTTTTTTTAAACTTGAATTTTTTTTTTAATTTACACTTTTTAGTTTTAATTTTCTTGTATATTTTGCTAGCTGTGAGCATTTAAATAAAATTCAGAGATCCAGAAACATTTGAAATAAGAAAGAAATTAAAAGAAGCCCTCTTTTTCTGACAGACACCTTATCCAGTAAGTGGCTTCTCTGTGAATTTTCTGTCACAAAACAGTGGCCTCTCCGTCTTCGTAAGGTGTTTTGTAGAGCTGAGTAAGTGCGGCAGCCAAACCCAGTCTGTTGGTAGCAATGGCAGTCCTATTTCATTTTCTTTTTCTTCTGATTTTTGTTCTTTCTTAAAAAAGGTAAACCTTACAGATACTTCCAGCCGACCAGTTTGCAGTGAATTTTCATTTCTTTCCTTTTCACGCCCTTGTTGTAAAAAGCCCAGCACTTGAATTGTTATTACTTTAAATGTTCTGTATTTGTATCTGTTTTTATTAGCTGATTAGTGGGATTTTATGCCAGTTGTTAAAATGAGCATCGATGTACCCATTTTTTTTTAATAGCAAGGCGCAGCCTTTGCCCAAAACTGTCATCTAACGTTTGTCATTCCAGTTTGCGTTAATGTGCTGAGCATTTTTTAAAAGACGCTTTGTAATAAAACATTAAAAAAAAAAAGTATTTTGTTAAGAATAACATTCCCGACCACGTAAAATTGGGTAATGGCGAGCTAAATCCACAGACCATGGCCAGGGCTGGATTGCACCGTAGCATCCCAGTCAGAGGAGCTCTTCTGGTGCCGTCCCTGGACGAGCACAGGCCAGTACCTGTTGTGAAGGAAGACTGATCCTCTTCCTCTCCCCCCTCAACATACAAATCCTCAGAAGCATTTGTACGGCCTGGCCTCCTCCTTTTCCAGGTGAAAGTATAAGGAGGAAGGAGAGAGAAGAGTCAAATGGTATGATTCTCTTCTTTCCTGACCATTTTTAGTTCCTGGTGGGCCCCAGGCATCAGCTTGCCATGCTCTCACCATACTAAGTGTACAGGTACTTTCCATTTTCAGAGCTCATTTGTTCTGAACTGGGTTCCCAGAATCATGGTGTCCCTTGTGTTAAAGGAAGGTTAAAGCCAAAATCAACATTTTCTCAATTTTGAGTTCATATTCCAAACCTTTCCCTTAAAACTTTGATTGTACCAGTATATAAACTGGTATCTGATTTGGCAACAACTACATATTTGAAGTTTAAAACATCTTTATTTTAGGGTCTTCCATAATGGTATTCTATCCCTTGAGTTAGTTTGACAACCATTGATACCACTAATCTAACTGAAATCTCTCTTGCTGAAATTCTAGTTCTATTTCCTTTTTTCAGCCTTCAACACAGCTGGAGAACAGCTGGCTACCATACTTGTAATAACCTTCCACATACTGTACTTGAAGATTGCCATTAAATCACCCCTCAAATTTTTCTTCAGGCTAAGTAATCCCAATTCCTTGAACCTTTCATCATTGGTCCTTTAATCATTTTCATTACTGTCCTCTGGAACCTCTCCAGTTTCTCTTCATTTAGTCCTAAACTTGAACGGGAGTGGGGTGGAGTAGGGAGGAGTCATATGTTTAGGGGACCTACTTAGGTTTCCTATTTAGCTGTGGCCAGAACTTCATTTAAAAATTCTCTGAGGTTTCTTAATGTATAGGAACCAAGTAGTTAAACAGTCCACAGCCTGCCACCATGGTCTTTTCAAAGGTTAACTAGGAAATCTAACAAAATGGTGTAGGAGGTCACCTTGGAAAAAAGGTTGTAACACAGTGATAGGCTCTTTTGGATCTGGGGAAGAAACGCAGTACCAAGAGGCATGCTGTTGTTACTTGCCATTGAGCCAACGATGACTCATGGCAACACCCATGTGTGCAAAGTAGAACTACTCCGTAGGGTTTTCAAGGCCGTGATCTTTTGGAAGCAGATCGCCAGGGCTGTCTAATGCAGTGCCTCTGGGTTGGTTTGAACTGCCAACCTTTTGGTAAGACGCAAGTGCTGAACCATTTGTATCCACCAGGGACCCACACAGAGACATAGTAAGATTTAAAAAAAAAAAATACTCATTGCCGTCCACTCTATTCCGACTCATAGCAATCCCTACTTGGGTTTCCAAGGTGGTATCTCTATGAAAGTGGATTGCCCAGTCTTCCTTCCGAGGAGTGGTTGGTGGGTTTTATATAAACCTGAGAATTGAGACTTGACCAAAGCTCACCCAACCCCTCTCCATCCTTGGTTCCTTCCCCATGCTTCTATGATAATAATGACACAAAAACTATTAATAAAATGGATTGTTTGAACACTCTGAGCCAGTTGTTCCTTCTACAGACTTGATTCCTCTCTTTTCTATATTTCCTCTAGAATATTTTTCCCAATTAACTTTGATGTTACTACTGCCCAATGCCCATTCCCAGTCTATTCCACCAGAATCCCACCTTCTGTAGGCAGCAGTTCTGGGGAGGGGGAATCAATAGTTCTGCTTGAGGTATGGACAAAAAAGTGAAACTAGCCTGGGGGCATCTGTGGGAAAAGGGATGCCCTTATGGCCACAGCTCTTTTGATCTCTCAGCGACTTGGCTGTCTTCCCTACTACAAGCTCAGAGCTGAATTGTGTGCCAAGAAGATGAGGCTGGGTTAGCCTTCTGGGCGCTGAGCTTTTTCCCCCAAGATCACAGCTGTCATGCTGGTCATTGTAAAGGGATGTTTTCCTCCTGGCTTTTGTTTGGTTGCTAGGGTTGCTGGTAACTACCTGTTTTTGCTGGAAGGGGCCTTTTGAACTGTCTCCCAACTACAGCTGTCCTAAGTACAATGATTTTTCCTCTGTTTCCATCTCAGTCTGGAATAATATGGAAACCTCTAAAGGGGCTTCTTCTTCTTGTTATGTGCCGTCAAGTCGGCCCCGACTCATAGCGACCCCTCCTTGGGTTTCCGAGGCAGTATCACTACGGAAGTAGATTGCCCCATCTTCCTTCCACGGAGTGGCTGGTGGATTTGAACCGCCAGCCTTCTGGTTAGCAGTCAAGTACCTTAGGCACTACACCACCAGAGCTCCCCGCTAAAGCGGCAGTGAGCAGTAATAAGATGTCCGTGTGGCTTGTCTTTTAAAGAAAAAAAGCCATGAGGGAGCAATGCGTGATTCTGACAGAAAAGAGAAATTTCAATCCCACGTGACATGGTAATTTTTTTTTTTTAATCAAGTTACATTTACTATTTCAGCCTACATCATCATACTATCTTCCATACATGGAAGCTTTGGGACTTTTAAGGTGTGAAGGTTGGGCAATCCTACTTCTGTAGTGATACTGCCTCGGAAACCCAAGGAGGGGTCGCTATGAGTCAGGGCTGACTTGACGGCACATAACAACAACAACATACAAACCTAACTTCTGGGGAGATACAGAGATACATAGAAATATATATATTTCACAAGCTGAACCATTTTTTAATAGGAACTGTCAAATTTATGGTGGTGGTGGTGGTTGTTATTTGCCGTCAAGTCGGCCCCGACTCATAGCGACCCCTCCTTGGGTTTCCGAGGCAGTATCACTACGGAAGTAGGATTGCCCAACCTTCCTTCCGAGGAGTGGCTGGTGGGTTTGAACCACCAGCCTTCTGGTTAGCAGTCAAGTGCCTTAGGCACTATGCTAGCAGAGCTCCCTAATTAAACATCTTAATACTAATATTTAGGAGAATGTTTCTAAACACTTCTTATATTGTGGCAAAATAAGCTAATCTTGTTGACTATCATTTTGAAAGTTGCTATTCTAAACTTCTAAGGAGCTCTGGTGGTGTAGTGCCTAAGGCATTTGACCACTAATCAGAAGGTTGGGGGTTCAAACCCACCAGTCACTCTGTGGAAGGAAGACTGGGCAATCTACTTCTGTAAAGATTTACCACCTTGGAAACCCAGTGGGGGTCACTATGAGTCGGAATTAACTTGATGGCAGTGAGCTTGGATTTTTTTTTTTTTTTTTTGATTCTAAACTTCTCTCTCCATCTGGGAAAACCTGCATTATCTAACTCTGCTACCAGGGATGGCTCCAGGGACAAAGGGAAAAGGATGGACCAAGAGCCACTACTTAAAGATTATTGGCACAAATCAACCAAACTTGGAATTTTATACAGATTAGGATATTAGGTGAGATTTTTAAAAAATAAATAAGTTACAGTAACACTTTAATAACTTAAGTGAAAAGTTTACTTCTTTGCCCTTATGGAAGAAACAATGCTAACATTTTCATCAGCATATCTGTGGGTCACAGTAGACTGGGATTGAAAAGAAATAATGCAGTCATTCAATGTTTTTATTGAGCACCTGACAGAGGGCTGTGCTCAAATAATGGTGCACTACAAAAATCTTTTTTTTTTTTTTATGATTTGTAAGATTGTTCACCATTTGCATTTGTCATCATATCCAAGCATCCACCTCCATGGCCACTAAACTGGACTTTAAAATACAACTTATACTAGAAAGGGAGGAAGGAGCTCTGGCGGTGTAGTGCCTAAGGCATTTGACTGCTAACCAGAAGGCTGGCGGTTCAAACCTACCAGCCACTCCTCGGAAGGAAGGTTGGGCAATCTACTTCTGTAGTGATATTGCCTCAGAAACCCAAGGAAGGGTTACTAAGAGTCGGAGTCAACTCGACAGCAGTGAGTTTGGTTTGGTTTATATTAGAAAGGAAGCAGTACAGTGGGGAATTCTCAGGTTTGGAGTCGCCCAGAGCTGGTCAAAGTCTCTATGACTTTTGGGTGCTGCACATTTAACCCCTCGGAGCACACGTCTTCGTGGGTTAAGTGATCACTTACCTCTAACAAGAGTAATACTAAAAAAAACTCACTGCCATAGAGTGGATTCTGACTCACAGCGACCCCCATTGGGTTTTTGAGGCGGTAAATCTTTATGGAAGTAGATTGCCCTGTCTTCCTTCCGCAGAGTGGCTGGTGGGTTTAAACCACCAGCCTTCTGGTTAGCAGTCAAATGCTTTAGGCACTATGCCACCAGAGCGCCCACGGGTGCACAGGAAATGAGAAATGCATTTATTTGAATTTGTTTTCTGTTTTTTAGAAAACATGCTTTTTTGTGAAGTGTAAGAATTGTAAGAATTTTTTTTTTTTTTTTTGCCATAGTCATATAACATAGGAGCATATGTTTTCTGCTCATGAAAGTGGTTGGTAGCCAGGACTAACAATCTATTTTGGACCCAAGATCAAGGAAGTACTTATACAAAAAGGCTAGCATGTGGTTCTTATTGGGTCAGAATCTTGAGATATTATCAGCTAATTAAATTTTTGATTCCATGAGAAATGTGGGAGAAATTGGTAGAAAATATATTATTTGCCAGATGGAATAAGAACATTGCATACGAACAATAGAATTGCACTCCATCTTAATGTTTCTCTGCAGTCACAGTGGAACGATATCCAGTCGTTTTCTCTTCTCATCTTTGTCTCAGGGTTTGAGTAGAGTGGAATTACTGACGTATGTTCTATGCTGAAATGATTTTCCTCTCATCAGCAAGATAATGTTTTGAGGCAACAAAAGTAAACTGTAGCCCCACAAACTGGCACATTTATTACAGACCTTTTCAAAGTTAGTTCAGATAACCACTGCACAAATGGAGAAAGGTAAGTTTTACA